ACAGTGCGATTGGCACAGGACAGAGCGGAGTTTAGGGCTGTTGTACATAGGGTCGCTATGAGTCGCAGGCGACTCGACGGCACATAACAACAACAATAACAACATATCAAAATGCTTTAAAATTGCTTTTCTTATGAGAAATGTTAAGCATCTCTCACTCTGCCCAAGATGTAATAGCATTTCCTTTTCTGTGAGCAGCCTGTTCATCTTCTTTTTTTTTTTTTTTAATTTTTGTGTGCTTGTACCGTCAAATCAGATCTGACTGGTACTGGAGGAGATTGCCCCTCCTTCCCCGGCAGAGCATCTGGTGGATTCGAACCGTGCACTTCTGGGATTGTAGTTGCAGCTCCTTGCCACTAGGCCACCAGAGCTCCCCTAAAATTATTTTATTTTGAGTGTGTGTACTGTCAAATCGTATCTGACTAGTACAGGAGGAGATTGTCCCTCCTTCTCCAGCAGAGCATCTGGTGGATTTGAACCGCACACCTCTGGGATTGCAGTGCAGATTCTTGCCCCTAGGCCAGCCGAGCTCACCCTGTTCATATTCTTTGCCTGTTTTGTGGTCTGGATTTTTTTGTTTGTTTGTTTTTGTTTTTGTTCTCTTCCTTCCACTCCTTTTTGGCATTTGTCCATGTTTTTTAATTTTTGTTTTGGGTTTTTTTTGGGGGGTGGGCGTTGTTATTGTTCCCCCCCTTTTTTTTGTTTCACAATCAACATCCCCCTTTTTTGGTTGTTGTCAAAGATCTCTTTTCTTTTTTTATTTCCATTCATTCATTGTTACACATTTTCCTCCCTGTCTCCCCTCCCCACCCCAGGTTTGCTTTTTTTTCCCCCCCTTTGGAAAAAAAGTTCTTTCATTGTTATACAGTTCAGTTCCCTCTTGCCCGCTGACCCGACCACTTTACTATGCAACTCTTTTTCTGGACTCTTTTCATGCCAATAATACTTAATCATATGTTACTTTTATACAGTTCTCTTCCTTGTCTGTTTCAATGCCCTGTATTTTATTTATGCCCTCTCCCCCCACCAACCCCAATATCAGTCCTGTGACATTAACAGTGACATTATACAAAATTTGTCTTTTTGTGACTGAGATATTTCATTCAATATAATGTCCTACATGGTCACCCATTTTGTATAATATTTCATGAGTTCCTTGTTCTTCAGTGCTGCATAATATTCCATTATGTGAATATACCACAGCTTCTCTATTTGTTTTTTGATGGGCACTTGGGCTGTTTCCAGTCCTTTGCTATTGTGAACAAAGCAACAATAAACATGGGTGTGCGTGTATCTGTTTGGGTGGCAGTTCTGGTTTCTTTACGATATATTCCCAGTAGTGGAATTGCTGGGTCAAATAGTATTTCTATTTCCAACTTTTTGAGAAAGCGCCATACCGCCTCCCATAATGGTTGCACCATTTTACACTCCTACCAGCAGAGAATAAGGGTTCCAATTCCTCCACAACCTTACCAACATCTGCTGTTTGCTGCTCTGTTAAATTTCGCTATTCTTACTGGGGTGAGATGATATTTCATAGTTGTTTTGGTTTGCATCTCTCTCACAGCTAGGGATTTTAAGCATTTCTTCATGTGTTTGTTTGTCATCTGAATTATTTGGTGAAGTGTCTGTTCATATCCTGTGCCATTTTGCAACTGGATTGTTTACTTTTATCTTGTTGTGGTATTTTCCTTTTTTTTTTAAATTTTCCAATTTCCCTGACCCTCCTACTCATCAAATTGTACAACCCCATGATAAATCCCCCACCCCCGCACATTCTCATCTGATGTTTTGAAGAAATTCTTTTGAATGGATTTTATGAAAATATTTTTAAACAATTTTTAATAGATATTTTAATGAAAGTTTACAGAAAACTTAGATTTCCAATTATTCATTGTTGCACATTTTCCCTCTTCCCCCGCCCCCCAGTTCACTTTTCTCTTCAACAAGATACTTTTGTTCTCTTTCCTCCACCCGTTTTTTATATTTGTCATTGTTTTCTAATGTTTTGAGAAAATTCTTTTGAATGGATTATTTGACAATATATTGTTCCCCTGGCTCGTTTATGTATTTTAATTTGTTTCAGGTAGGGTTTATAATGCTAGAAGTTTGCTTTTTGCATCCTTCATTCATATGTCACTGTGTATGCTCATCTTCTCCCTGGAGCTCCTCTCCCCTTTCCCTCTCTTCTGTCTGGAGTCCACCTTCTCATTCAATTTGGGCTGACTCTTACCTTCTTGACATTCTCTTTAACTTACCCCACCGACCACATTGCTCCTCTTTCATGGTTCCTTTAGAGCTCCCACATCTTTACTTTTTGTCTTGTTCTCTTGGTTTTGCTTGACTTTCCTTATTTATAACCTATATATAAACTTATACATAAACTGCGGCCCTCGGGCCAAGAAAAACCTATCTACATAGCAATTTTACAGGATGCATCACCTTTGACC